ATAGGAAAGTGGAGTTTGTGGGGAACTGGACCGACGCCTAGCAACCGAACACCTGGAGGAGAACCAATCAGCTGGGAGCCTGTAGCCAATGAGTGCTGCTCCTCAGCGCATGCCCACCTGCACCGGTATAAAGCCCTGCTACAGACAACAGCAGAGAGGAGTTGACCTCATGTTGTGTGGAGGTGTTGTTTGCTCTGGCTTGTGGGGAGGGCACTGGCAGTTGACAGGAGGTGGATCATCGACGTTGGGGTTATTTTTTCATCTCAGTCATGGGGGGAAACAGAACTACTCATACAAATGGGAAAGATATTTTATTTCTCTCTCTGACTTTAAATTCCTGATGAAGAATTTCTGATGTAGTTGTAGCCAAGGATGGTTGGATGGTCTCCAGCCTCCTTAGAGGAGAACAGATTACTTTTTTCAAGATGAACGGGATCCAGAATATTGTGTCTGTCTATACCATAGCACAGAAATTTGTGGACATATTTCTCATTCTTGGAAACTGCTGGGTTCTTAACTTGTACTTACCAATGTTGGCAGTTAGTACACACTAAGAAAAACATGTTAAAAAAAATCGGAGTGGGCGAAAGCAGAATCTGAACCTTTAAAGCTGAAAAGAGCACTTGTGACTTGTGTTTTTACATTGCCTTAAATGTTCTATGCTTCAGCTGCTCTCCCTGCTGGCTGCAGGGTTTTGCCCTTTGACTGCTCTACAGCAACTGGGCTTTAAGAAGCTCTGCCTTCCTGTTTGCACTTGCTCCTCCTTTGGTTTTCATAGCTGTGTTTATTTGGGAGGAGTGTTCCCGCACACCCCTCCGTGGGGCTTGGGATACCTCCTGTAGCATCTGCCCTGAATCAGAACCACCCTGATGTGCTCCAGAGTCACAGCTCACAGGAGCCAGTGTGGGGACAACACGGGGAACAGCCACGTGGGCCTGGAAAATGAGAATACTTATTCAAGTCCCTCCAGGGCTCATAAAAAAATAAGTCCTCGAGACTACAGAACACCTCTAAAATCACAGCTGTCAATGCTGGTGCTCTGCCTGCTTTAATGAGGAAGCAGAATGTCCTTTGCTGGCCTCTCAAGTGATGGACATTCCACCTTGCTGCTTGGTATTAGGATACATTTACATTTTTGTAATTATTCTGTAGTGAATAAAAGGTGCCCATCCTGTGAAATGGCAAGCAACTGGAGCTTATTATTATTATTATTCTAATGAACTTCTGCTGCTGATAATTCTGGTGGATGCAGTTTTGATTTCCTCAGTCTTTGACTTGACCTGGTACCTTCGTTGACCAAGGTAGGGAGGAGAAGGTTGGTTGTTTTGCTGTGTGGTCCCTGGCTTGCTGCAGAAACATGTCTGTAATCCCTCTGGGAAGCAATACTTCCCAAAGTCTTTTCCTGAGACCTGCTAGTCTGAAGAGCCTCCAGGCCAAGTGGAGCTATTTGGCCACTTCTCTGAAAAGCAGCTTACACCATCAGTGAGGAGCTGAGATGAACCAGAATTTCTCTGCGTTGCTCTGTTTTGTTTCTGAAGCAGCTGTGGTGTGTGTTTTGAGTTGCTGGTCCAAACCTGCAGATGATTAAGTTTTTTTTTTCTTCAAGCAGACAACATGATCTGCATCTTACTTGGGTTTAATTTTGGCCTTTGCACGCCAAAAGTGCAGAGTGGTGGAATGTTAGTGGTGGAATATCATAGATAGTATTGGGTTATCATCTGTCACTGTCCTCTCTGTACCAGGTCTTCAGGAGATGATGGGATTTTATCTCCAACAGTCTAAAAAATACCCTTGGGGTTAAATTTGCTGCAAGTACCGCTATCAGGAGCTTTTTTCCTCTTTGCAAATGGGCCGAGCTGAGCTTGGCACCAACGCTTCCCAATCTGTTGCTCTGCCTCTCTCCTTCTGGGTGGTCGTTGACATTGTAAGGTAGCTGACAGCCCATTCAGCTTCCAATGGGGAGAAATCTCAGGTGCTTGTGCAGTTCTGCTGTTACTGATTTTTATTGCTTGACTGCAATGTAAACGTAAGTGGGATAAGTGGCTGGAGAGTAAAACATGGGGAAAGGCGCCCAAAGAAGTGGAGAACTTACTGGCCCTCATAGCTTGCTCCTTGCACCTTGCTGGCCTCCGTAGGTGGTTTCTCCCGGAGAGGGGGGCTCTGGGACCGGTTTTTCAACTGGGTGATCAACTGACTGAGTATGAGGAGCCACTCTGAGAGGGTGGTGGGGCCAGTTTCCCAGGCAGCCTGAGACTAGGAAACATTGGCCACCCTGGCCAGGATGGGCAGCCAGTGGTTTGGTAGATCAGTTCTAATAGATAAAGGCTACTACCGCGTCACCTTTTGCTCTTAAAAGGCTGCAAAACCCCTGTGTCGTTCTGCTGTATCATTTGGCAAGGAAACTGCAGCTCTTCATGAAAAAGAACATGATATTTTCTAGCCGTTACCTGCCTCATTATTTTGTTTTGCAAAAGGGAGGGAAGGAGAGCTATGGACTGGTGTGTCCAAGAGGTCCATTGCAGGGCCCCTGGGGGCACGTGGCTGTAGAAGCCCGTCCTGGAGCCTTCCAAGCGAGTCGTAGAAATCTGCCCTTTAACCTCGGAGTCACGAGCGCTCCAAGGCCCGAACTGTTGCCTGAGGACTGGCCTCCCAAGACCCCCGACCGGGCCAAGTTTTCTGGGCTCAGGACTGTTGTTGCCTCAAGAGGAGCAGATGTTTGCACAGCAGACAAACAGCATCGAGGAGAAAGCGAAGAGAATACTATTTTTTTCTTTCTTTTCTTGAACCAAGGCATTTAGGCATTTAGATCACATTCCAAAGGCACTCCACTTTTTCCCCCCCGCCCCAGTACTGTATTATTCTTTATAATACTTAGGACTCTCTGACTGTACATCAACATGTCTGTTGCTTGAGATGATAAAGAAATTATAGGGAATGATTTACAGATACAGAGAAGGGTTTACAGGTTTTTTTTTTTTTTCCCACCAACACTGATACTACAAATCATTAGAACTAATGCAAACCTATTTTTGTCTGCTGTGTTTTACTGAAGTAGCTTTAACAATGTTTGTTTTTCCAGTGTCCCTATGGGAACCCTGGAAGATTCCAAAATGCAATAATTAAAAAATGACAGCCCTTTCCTTGCAATAAAAAATGAGCAAGAGTTTTGTGGTTTAAACAGCTATGTGGTTGCTTGTTAGCAAGCTCTTTTGCCTTGTACTCTAGCCAGGCCTGTAATGGTCAAAAAATGTTGCTGTCGAGAACTGCTCGTTTGTTTTCGATCACTTGTTTTATAAGTTAAAAGACTTTGATGACTTGTTTTAATTTGCTGAAACCGCATTCATCACCGGTATTAGTAGTTGTATTAAATCATTTGGTGCCAGAGCAGTTTATGCTCTCCCAGGGAGGCAGCGGTTCTCGCTGCCGCTTGTTTTGTCTAGTGCAGGGATATTCTTTTAAGATGTAAAAGAGTAATTGAAAGCTTGGGAAGCTCTGTAATTCTGATAAAAGAATTTCCATTGAATCACTTTTGAAAAGCTCTTTCTGTATTTTAATTTTATCAATAAATACTTGGAATAAATTGAATGAAAGTTTAAAGTAAAAGTATTGCAAAAATAACTGAGAATCTCACCACCTTATGGCTGCATCTTTACTGTTTGGACCTGGCTCCCATAGGAGCCAGTGAAACCTTCTGTTTCTGTCCCGGGAACCAAATTTAATGTTTTCTCCCTAAATCTTGGAAATCTGAACTCAAAGTTAAGTGATCTTGATTTCTTAAAGGGTCGCTGATGTTGTTCTTATGATGAAGCAGGAAAACATTAATTTTGGGGCCTATTTCCCACTTTATTTGTTGTTTATATCTGTGGATGCTGTTGGATGTTACTGTAATTAATTAACGCAACAAAACCAGTTTCTTGGGAAATCTAAATCCTGCTGATAGGACACTCTCCAGGGTAAATATGAAAGTAACTGCTTTACTGTTTTGCAGTACCATGAATTTGGTTCCATGAGGTCTCCTTTTCCTCTGAAGGGCTTCTAGATAGCTAGTCTACCTAGGTATTTGAGTGTGTTTATTTTCTTCTTGCACTGGTTGCTGCTGGTTGAGGAAGGTCATTCATTAGTGTTTACTTTTGGGAACATTTAGGCTTTATTTTATTTTTTTTTGGTTAATTCAGGAGTGCCCATCTTCCTTTTATTTTTGTTTTTTTATTCCCATGGTTTTGGGGGTGGCGGGAGAGATGCGCACGCTGCCGCGTGACGCTGGAAGTGCGCCGGCGGGTGGCAGTGGGGCTGGCAGGGAAAACGGTTCTGCTGGTACCAGTCACTGCAAGGAGCGCTGGGGTGGCCTTGCGGCAGTGGGGGCCTTGCTCTGCTTGCTGCGTCCAAAGATGATGTAAAAGTGCGGGGGGGAAGAAGGACAGGGAAATGATGGTTAACTCTATATCTCTGGTTTTTCTTTTTCACGTGATGATGTCTGCTGAAGTACAGCTGGTGTCGCTTCGGCAGCCCAGGGTTAGCTGTTAAGCATCCCCTATCCTGGAGCAGTGACCTACACGAATACTGAAAAAAACCTAGGGCAGCATTCCTGCTCCAGTAATCTTTCAGTAGCATTTTAATTTTCCATAGAAAACAGTATTGATTTGCTGTCTGGTGAAGTAATTAATATAACAGTTGTATGTGTGTTGTTTTTCCCCTGGAGTGACCACATTGTTATGTTATACCCTGCTTTTGCCATCAGACATAACAACATGTAACACAGATTTAAAAGTCTAAAGAAAAATATAGATAGCCTTTTTATTTCCTTTTCTGACAAAAAACTGCCAAAACTTTTTTTTTTTTAGTCAGTTTTGGCTTAGCTCTTAATGCCCATATCTTCCTGCTTTAGACGTCAGAATATCGCATTAGGGAATGCAGCTATAACAGCAAACTACTGTTGTTCTCAGAGCTGTTGTTACCTAGGAATTCTTAGTTTTAGTGATGGATATTTTCCTTTGTTTCAGCCAAACCTTTCACGTCTAAAGTGAAACAGATGCGACTACATAAAGAAGACTTTGAAATCCTGAAGGTCATTGGCCGAGGAGCCTTTGGGGAGGTACGTATGGCAAAGGGAGGCACGGGAGGTATAAATATATGGGAGGTGCATGTGGGAAGGGGAGGCCAGGAGGCACCTGAATGTGCCTACGCACATTGAGGAGCAACAGCTCAGAGTAGGGAACCCCTGCAGAAGCTCTGTGTTACTCTGTGTGTAAAGGGGTAAAGGGTATTGTAGGTCAGCCTGACATTTCCTGTAAACACGTTTTGTTTTGCACATTCATTAATTCTTTTTTAAGTGTAAGTGTTCAGAGAAGGTAAGTTTACACAGATTAAAAGACGTTGTGGCCTTCAGTTGTCTGATGGTAAAATTCTTGTTCAGCTATAATTTTTTATAGTCAGCAGATGGAGACCACAGTGCTGATGATATAAAGATCTTGTAATTTCTAAGCATCTTAATAACTGAATAGTCCGAGAGCAGTTTTCAAGAACTTAAATGACCTAACATTGATACTAACATTCCAAAAACAAATGGAAATCTCCCTATTCCTGGCCTTTTATTTCCAGTTTTTAATAAGCACTTTAATGATTTCTCTTCGTAAGAAATCAAGTATTTATCATATGTTAGTTTTGGCTTCAGTTTGCTTCACTTGTTGTTCTTGAAATATAGTGAAGAACTCTGCTACTTCTGATTAAACCATCTCTTAAGTCATTACGTAAGACAGTTGATTGCTGGGTTTTAAAGATATCAAGGGTATCTGTTTATAGAGGCTGAGGAAACTGGATTGAATAAACCTTAGTTTTTGGCCTTTTCTTCTTAACATCTATTACTGCTATGATTATTCTGCAGGGCAATATAGATATATAGATATATAGATATATATGGAGCAATCATGCATAATTGACTTGAGCTTTTGATGACCAAATATATTAGAAATGAAAACAGTATAATATGTTCAGAAAGTTTTCCTTACTACTTGAAAACAAAACAAAAACCTGAGAGTTGGCATCTGGAGTATAAGCAGGAGACACTGAGCAATGCTTTTGTTACTCCTGCAACTGAAAACATTTTTCAGCAATGTTTTCCTTGGTGTGGTAGCGTTTCTGGAGGCTACATGGCATATGCTAGAAAAGAGTTGGTTTCAGGTTCACTTACATGTTTGCTTCATGTGATAAAGATGGGCTTTACTGCTGTATGGTTACAGAAGAACAATTTTCTGTAGATGCTTCTGAAGTAAATGGATTTTTTTACTGTAACATAGGTTACTACATAATTTGATGATACCCCTCTGTAAGTGATAGTGCTAAACAGATGCAGAAATAACTTTAAAAGAGTAGTGTCTATTTACTTAACATATTGTTTTTACTTGTGTTACTCTCTGTGGAGTAGTACTTCCCTACAGGGCTGTTCGGAGAACTCACAAGTAATTAATTCTTAATTTTGATCTCTGCCACGAGGAGAATATCGCGTTCACCTTTGTGTAGAACATAGTTCTGCATACAACAGTACCTTTTTCAGTGCTGCAGTAGCGATTGCAGCTCAGTTCATGTGGCAATTCTGTAAGATTTGAGAAAAATCCCAGCTGCAGGTACTGTTTTGTCAAAAAATCCTGTGCGAGACCTGCATCGTCCCGCGGTTTTAGGAGGAGTCTTTCTTTGTCTGCTGATTTAATATCAACCTCTCCAGCCGCTAAACCACAAGAACTCTGCTGCTTCCTCAGGAAGCTTCTTTGTGGTGGCTCCTCGCATGACTAGTGAGAGTGTAACTCCCCGCATCCTTTCTGAGGGCAGTCTGCATGAGGAGGGAGGGAGGAAGTCCTCCTCTAGGCAAAGTGTTTGTCTCTCTAAGATCTTTTCGTAGAAAAAATGCAGTGTTCCGCCCAATTGTCAAAGTCTTTAGGAAGAGGAAAACTGGAGTGTGCTCAGTGATGCTGCTGATTTTTGTAACTTCCTTAAAGTGGAGCTTTAAAAAATATTTGCAGGGATATATGTTAAATCTGCTATTAGATTTAAGCGTCTCTCCTGAGTTTTGTCTAAGAAGACCTCAAATTCTGTATGAAGTTACTAATTTTCCTTTAACTAGTAAATAGCAGAGCAAGGTTTAAAAAGAACTTGGAAAATTTTGCTGCTGCTTAAAACACCAGAAACTACATTAACAATGAAATGCAAAATACTTGAATGATTCCATAGACTGTAGTAGTTTACTGAGGCAGATCAAGAAAGCTGGGAGGATGTATTTTCTTTCCAGCAGAATATAAATGAGATCAAGGTTCCTCTAAGTTTCTAGGAGGAGCAATTCTGTCTCCTGATTCAGCTTAATACTGAAATTCTATAGACTACAAAACTGGTGCAAATTTTCGTTGGCACAGTCACTGGCTTGTTCTTGGATTCATTTTGTGCTATTCAGTCCCTTTAATTTATGCACTCAACAAATACTTCTATTTGTTTTGACAAGGCTGATGGAGACAAAAAGCAGTTTAAACCAATTACTGTGTATAAGCAATGCTTATAACCGAACATTACCTATAATAATGGGTGAACTGTACCAGTTCCTAGTTTTTGGTTTTATTTTTTCCCTTAGAGCCCTTACTCTGCTTGATGTAACTGTGATGATTACTTTTTTTGGTCAAATTACGGATGTGCCCCTGTACTTTCTCTGAGTACACTGACTTATTTAAGATCTTGTATACAAGGCTACTGCCTTCGGAAACCAAACATTTTCCAAGGAGGAGGAGTATTATACTGGTAAAATCTGATGTGGGCATCAAGTGTTCCATTGTGCTGGGTTCAGGCAGTGCAGTATAAAAAACCCAACATGCACCTCCAAATAAGCAAAAGGGCTTTAAACTTGGGAGTTGAAGGGAACTAATAATAAAAGTGGAGAACCACTGCTCAGTCCGGTGACTGCTCTTGTCCACATTGCTGAGCAGTATGAAAGTGCAGCAGATTTAAGGTTGTAAATAATACTGAAATTTTCTCTTTTGCTTCACTCTGCCCCTTGGAAACATATATGAAGTTCACTGATTGAACTCAGTGCATGAAATTGTCTCCCTTGTGCAAGTATATACTACATATTATGTTGCTGATATTTCTAAACTGAGATTTTTTTCCTCTGAGAAGCAGTTAGTCATTCCCAATTTTGTCATCCAATTATGAACAGACATATTTTTTCTTCCTCTCCCTACCTCCATCCAGGCAATGTCGGTCACATGAACTCTGACTTTGTAAGAAGAGTCAGAGAGGAGTCGTACTTAAATTCATTTTTTTTCAATAGAAATTAAACAGTTAATTCCATGTGCCTTTGAAACATAGTTCTTATTTCTAGAGGCCTGGCTAATACTGGTGCCTGAGCACTCGTGCATCCTTTTTTTTTTTTTTTTTTTCCCCCAGCTTCTATGCTTCCATTTTAGCCTTTTGTGTGCCAAGGGAGTTGTTTTTTAAGCCAAGGAGATGTGCAGACATAGAGCATAGAGACAAGAAGCCAACTTTGGGGCAGAAAGTGCTGGGCAGTATGTCTGTACTGCTGTCTGTGGGAAAGGGAGCACTGTTGGAAGACTGAAAAAGAACAAAATCCAACTAAAACCAAGATGTTTACATCAGCACATACAAATCATTTTTGTAAGGCTACTCACAGGGAAATATAAATTTAAAAAGTTTTAAACAGCCAGTTATAATACATTCCAGTAACAAGGCATTTTAGGATAACTAGACAGGAATGATTACCCCTTCTTCCAGCTAACAACTTCTTTCAGAAAGAGAACATCAAAACAGCACTTAGATTATTTGTGCCTTGGTATACATACTATGTCCGTATGTGTATAAAGACTGCCTGGGTCTATAAGCAACTTTTGGAATTTTGGTTGCAATTGGGAACTGCATTGGACCGTTCATAGCTGAAGTGTCAGCTTTTTGTTTCACAGTCAAATTCAAGGGTGTTTTAGAATTTACTTTTCCAAGATACCTAGACACACACAGAAAGGTGCTGTGATTGCAGGAAAAATGGCAATGCCCCCTTGATCTCTGTTTTTCTTTGCGATGGTTATTGATATGGAATAACGTTAATGACTTTCCCAGACTGAAAGAGTGCTGCTGACTGATCGTAAACACAGCTGGTAAACATGGCTCTGTTTTGTTTTCCCCTCATTGTGAATGCTGCTGCTGATTCCCATTCGGTCCTGTTTTCAAGCCCAACACTGCAGCTGCTACCCAAAGACTCCAGGAGCTCCTTCAATGCCCACTGAAAGCTGTACAGGAGGTTGCAAGTGTAGGCAGCTGTGCAATTAGCATGTCGTTGGCAACAGAAGATGATTCTTGCAAAATAATATGGCCTTTCATCTGTTTGCTGTAGCATGCTCAGTGAAGTCCTCCAGGTGGAAGTGAAGCTTGTATCTTTTGCCCGCAGCTTTGGCTGCCTGCTCTGCAACACTTTCTGCTGGGCTTGGGGATGACTCCTCTTGCCAGAGAGTGGCTCTGGGGTCCAATCTAGCACCATCCTTGTTAACTGTTTCCCCATAATCATGGCACTGCCCTTAAAGGCGTTCAAGGTAGAATTACATAGTGTTTTCATAACAAGATGGTACCATGGAGATGGATATGGTCACCTTGTCATCTAAGATATGGTACAATTTCAAGGTTTTTGATTAGTTGCAGTATTAGGGCTTTTTTTCTCCTGCTCTTTCTATTAAGAGTGAATCCAGACAGGGGCTTCTAAGAGTTTCCAGCTAATAAAGTGACAGGAGGCCAATCTTCCAGATCCCTGTTATAGGTTATATATTGCCAAAGAAAACTGATCTCTTCCTCCTGAGAAGAATTGTGATGCTCACTCCTAGAGTACCATGGTGAATGCATACAGAAAAACAGGTATTCTTTTCTAAATTTAAAGTAGATTATGGTCAGAAGTAACAAAGCGTGTGTGTCCCTCTGCACGTACCTTGAAGGATCTCAGGGCTAGACTTGAAAGTACATTTTTATTCATGAAGTCACATCTTAAAAATTAAATTCATTGACTAGTTTAAACAGGCAGATCTAGTACCTCTGTCTTCCCTCCTGTTTTGTTCCCCCCCACAAAGGGAGCAGTTTTAAGAGCAGGGCTGGTGATATGTTATCGCACACAGGACAAGTGACAGCTACTCCATCAGATCTGTAGCTAAGCAAGAGAGAATCTTTTAAATCTAGTTTAGATATCCAAGTAGTATAAGACTTCAGCATGCACTTTTGCTATGTTCATGAGCTGGCTGCAGCTGATGACACATCTAAAGATGGTTTAAAGAAGCTTATGTGACACCTTTTCAAACTGCTGCATGTTAGGTTTTTTTCTTCTGTTTTCATACATCGCTCGTTTACTGAATATGAAGGAGGTGGAAGGAATGTAGGATTCAGCTTGAGTACTTTTTTTGTCATTGCCCTGCAGAATAAAGATGATGATAATGTGTGTGACAGTATGTTGCTTTGAAAACAGCTGAGGACAAACCTACGGTCTTAATTTGTATCTAAAAGCTAAAATATTTAGTGTTTTTTAGTTTCAGAAACTGACTACCACATTGCTGTTGTCTTTGCTGGTTCACTAAATTTCGTTTATTGCCTAGGTCTGAGAGGATGAGTCCAAGAACATGAAAGATAATGTCAACAACAGGGTAGTTTCATGGCAATAGGATGGAGCAAGAAATGAGAGTGAGACAGACCATTGTTGTTATGCTGGCACCTAGAAAGAGGAATATGCAATAAAAGCATAACATAGACTTGGAAGTCTTACGGAAGACTGTAGTTATGGCATGATATTGTGTGGGGATAGTAAAGTCCAGAATGGTGAAAAAGAAATTAAGGAAAACATACAGCTTTTCATAAATAGCAAAATAGTGTGTTTCCGTGTTTTAGCTTATTTGACTTTCTTTTTATCTTTTCCAGGTTGCGGTAGTAAAGCTGAAAAATGCAGATAAAGTTTTTGCAATGAAGATACTTAATAAATGGGAGATGCTGAAGAGAGCTGAAGTAAGATTATGGAAGCGTTTCTTTGTTTTGTTTTCTGTAATCATGCAGTCTCTTAATATGTTGCGTCAATGCCTCTTCCTACAAGAGAATATTCCGTATAGGTAGGGATTGAGGAGATACATGACTGCTTACTGACAATATGAAGTTTAACTTTAAGATAGGCTTAAAGTAGGTTTTGAAAGAGTTAAAATGGCAATAGGTGGGGTGGAGGGTTGTAGAAAATATAGTATTTCTGTAATTGCCAAAGCATTTCCCATTGTACAAGCAGTCTTTTGTGTTTATGTGTTTATGTGTTTATGCCATTTAGAAATGTAGTCTTTGTCTTGTAATGTTTGATATTTGGAAATTAATGAGGTCTAACTCAGCAAGATGTTACTTTATCAGTAGCTAGAAATTAGTCAGGAGCTGATTTTAGATTGAAAAATTAGAAAGATAAAAATAGATTATAGGAAGAAATGGGTTTCCTATTAATAGTTAAATGTGTTGTATAGATTTCAAATTACCTTGAGACACTTTATTTTTTTTTTTAAAAAAAGTCCACTTTCAAAACTTTGATGAGAAGTTCCTCGTTAAGGCCTGAGCATGCTCTGTGTTTGAGAAATGTGGACCAGTTCTGTCCATGATCATCCTACTTTCATTATCCAACTCAACTCAGGTCTAGGAGCCTCAGTGTTTCCTTGGGTACCTTTGGAAAGAAACTTTGTCTAAACTGCACTCCCCACCTGAAGACTCGTGTATTAGTTTTAAAATGGAACGAGGATCTGGTTTAAACTGCTTTAAAAATAATCTTTTATGCAAAACTAAGAGGTAGACTTTTGAAAATGAAACTTTCACACACAAATATGCTCTGACAATTGGTCCTTCTTTAGTTTAGGCTGTGTAAAAGCTACCCAAAGTCTTGACTGACTTGTCTGGTCAAATTATCCCTAACTTCAGCTTTTGAGGCCTCTATTTTGCTACTCTCAAGCTGCATTTTTGTTCAGTTGCTTGCAAATTTATTTTGATCTCTGCATTTATGGATCTTGTTAGGAAAGGAGATCATCACACTTGAGAAAAAAGAGAAAATTAAAGCCAATTTCTGGTGTCACCCTGTCTCCTTAATGAAACTTTTTCATACAAAAAAGTGTAACTGACACACAGAGTGTGTGCACACTGTATGCAATTCAGAAATTGTTCAGGTACTGTAAAATCTAGTGTTAATCTCAATAAAAGAGGTATTTCTCTCTAGGTCGTGTCACTTCTGTAAGTTATGTTTGGTTAAAAAAGACCAGAAGTAAAGTTCCACTCTATTTTTAAATGTTCCCTTTTAATATCAGTTTAAAAGCAATTTCTTTCCATTAAAATAAAGTTATAAATAGGTTTGAAAGATCTTCACTATGCAGGGTATTAAATATACTCCTCCCCTGGGTCGAGCTGGATTTCTGAAAGTCTGAACACTCTAAAAAGAATTGCAGCTACGTTTTTCCATGTATTTAGTGACCCATGGGTATACAGTGGAAAGAGAACCATCTGGAGTGCAAATGCATTACAAAGCATGACCTTCAGTAACTATAACCTGTCTTTCTTAAATGGTTATGAATGCACTTGCTTTATTATTGCTACCACAATGGCATATTTTGGCATTTTTCAGAATTTGCTGCCCAAACACTGAACCACATACAAAAATCATACACTCCAAAACAACCAGCCAAGTGTATAGATAAATGTATGGTAAATTGGGTTGTTTGTATATCCTTGAATCAACTGTGCAGGAAGTGGAAATCATTTGGCGAAGCAGAAAAGGAGGATAGACTCGGAGTCTGTAAAAAACAGATTAGGAGTGATTGTAAATCTGGGATTTTCTAACTTTTGAGTATTTGTATGCAAAAAAGGTATTGCAAGGAGATTATTGAGAGACATGAGAGCATTCTCATCTCTAGGATAAAGAGCAGAAGTTTTCTAGGTACTTGCAGCTGTTGGAAAGGCTGAGCCGCGATGTGGCCCCGGGGCCGCTGGTGATGCGTGGCATGACTGGAAGCGGTGCTGCCGCTGCCCGCAGTGCTGACACTCACTCACGGGCACCTTTCTGTTCAGAAGAGACCAGGACAAGCGGTGCGGAGCACGGAAGCAATCTGCACTCCCAGAAGGTGCTAACTGAGCTGCGAGGACATGAGCCAGTGTGTGCCAAATAGCCTCGAGGCCTCGCTGCTCTTGCTGGTTGTGGGCTCTGCTAAATCAGAGCACTAAGCTGCTCTACATGGGTCTTGCTGGGAGCAGGAAGTTGGGCCAGGTGACCTCTGGAGGTCTCTGCCAACAATTCAAGGGCATCCAATACTCACTGAGTCTCTTGTCTCTCCTGCTATTCCCTGTCCCTAAGGGAATTGAAACTAATGCGGAGATAATGTGTGAGCAACAAAAAGGGGCTTGGGTTCCTCCCTTCCAATTTAAAAGGGCTTTAGTCAGGCCTAATTCCAAGAGCATTCCCAAGAGAATAAGACTATGGAGATGTAGGCAGAAGGGCACAAGGAGTGTGCTGTGTATCTCTCTGCTTCTGAGCCTGGCAGTTGGAGAGGTGGTTTCTTGGGCAGTGCCCTTGGAGTTTGGATGGAAACCCACAGGCTTGGGACTGTGGCGGAGAAAAGAACAGGGAACTCTGGAGGCAGAGCACAAAAGTAATGGATCCTTTCAGGAATAGGTCCACCTACTAGTTCCATTAAACTATGACCTTCCTGCAAACACAGTTGCGTTGGCATAAACATGCAAGCCATGTTTATGCTCATCCACTTTGTGTCTACTCTGAAAATTTGTTCTAAATGGAAACAAATATAACAGCACAGAAACATGGCTATAAAAAACCTGCAAGTGAGCCATGTTACAGTATCTACAGTAATTGCAAGAACACTGTCTTCTTTTTTCCCGCGAACTAATGTAAAGTCCATGAGCTCCTTGGTTAAACTGGTTGCACCCACGCAGCGGTGGGTGTTTAAGGTGCTCAAGGAACACTGTCTTGTGAAATCGTGACAAAAAGCAATTGAATTACTTAGTTTCTCTGTAGTATTTAGTACTATGAGTTGCCTAATAACAAGAAGAGAAACTGTCATTTATCCTTGTGAAAACAAGAGTTTGTAGTTTCTCTTTCCCACATATCTCAAGAGTTTACAAACAGAAAAGGAGAGAAAAAAAATCAAATGTAAATCTAGAAAAATGAAAAATCTTCAGAAAATCTTCCTTTCCCCATAGTCCATTTTTAATGTGGCTGTTTTTGAATGTCTTGTTCTTAGTATGCTTTACTCGCTCACTCACGCGTTTCAGTTACTCCTGATTTATCTCATGCATTGTGGTATAATTAAAATATACCATATTCCTTCTTCCTGATCTGCATCATACTTGCTTACTTTATTCACCAAAGCAAGACAGCATAGTTTGTTTGTTCGGATGAGGGATTTATTTTCTGCTTATTTTACTGCATTTATTCTTGCGCATAGCTCAGTCTAATGTGAAGTTTCACTTTTCATTGTTTGTTCTCCAAATCTCAGAGCCAACAATAACCATGTCAGATATCTGGTATTGGCGATTGCTTTTGGAAATAAAATTGGAAAAGTAATAAGAAACGGCTTGATATTTTTTTTTCCTTTAAAATTCAGTAGTCTCCTAGGAAGATCCAAACTGATGAAACATTTGTGAAGTAGCAGAGCATGTTCAAGGAGTGTGTTCTGGTCTGTTAACTCTCCTTCTAGGTAGAGCCCATTTGGTTACTAGATTTTACACAATCTTTTAGACATTTTTTCCCAGAATCTTGCAGTTCCAGTTTTCCAAACCAAATTGCACCTTGGTTGTGCTAGCTGGCACCTCCCCAATACTCATCTAGAGCTCCTCCCTTCCAGGAGAGCTCTCTTGGTCATCTTCCTCTGTCGTTCCCCAAAGCTGTCTTTCCTGATGTAGCCTGTTGGCTATCCAGGGCACGTTTCCAGCAAATCAATGGTCTCACTACTTTTGAGATTAATTCTCTTCATGTTTTATCTTCCTTTGTTTTATACAAACTTGTGCTCTCCTAATTCTGGTAGATGTTGCTTAGCACTTCTTGGTAGTTTTTGTTCTTTCACCTTGGTAGTTTTGGGTTTTCCCTCTGTTGCCCAGGCTGTGAGG